ATAGTGCTATCTATGGTCACAAATTGTGATTCATTTTGGTTTATAAATTATTATTGCGATATACAGATGGCAATCGTTTCTATAATGTACATCGATGGTTGCTCAAGTAAAACTGACTTCTTCTTACTCACTCATTTGTGTTCTTTTTTTTGTGGTGAGCTACAGTGTCATTGGCACTTTCATTCATATTAAATTCTAATCTTTTTGATTCAGCTAATCTGGAGCATGACTGAGCGATTTTTGTTACTGTTTTATAATCTACAGTTCCTAGAATATTGTCCATATATAATCATTGTCATCTTCTAAAACTCCAGACCATCCGCGGACCGCAGTGGAGACGTTGCGCCGGGCCTCGAATTTGGCGCACGGCTCACTCTCCACTGCGGACAGCGCTTCATACTTGAACATCCCCGCGGTCACGTGCGCATATCCCGTGGAACTGCGCGTCTCATCCGCGCGCAGCGCTTAGGATCAACAGCAAAGCTGTGCCACGCAATCTTGTATCATGTCTCTCTGGATTGGGTTTTCTGGCCTTTAGGTGGTATTTAGTGTATTTGTGCATCACAAATTTATACTCATTTTCATGATAATTTTCGACTTCAAAGTTGCACTTCATATACGTTTCATGCTATACTTATAGCGCATTTTGTAGGCTTAAACAGAAAGACCTGATGTATTTACTAGGTTTCGCTGCTTGTATGATGCAATTTTGACTTGCAAAATATCTCCAAAAATGTCCTATAGGCCGAAACGTCACAATTAGCAAGGATAAAGAGCTGTGATGAGGTGTTCATTTGTTTAATGCTATCGTATGTGTATGTGAAGTTGAAAGTTGAAACAGTGCTCTTGCTTACATTTAGATGAAAAGTTTCACTAATTAGTACTAGATTTTGCTGGGAAAAAAACAGAACAGTATATTATACACCTCGGCAGAATAGTCTACTGTATACTAATCAATGCTAATATAGTAATGAGGACATAAAATACAGGAAATTTGTTCGGTAAAATAGAAAAACAAGGGTGAGGCCTTAGTTGCGGTATTCGTATACCTGGTAGTGGGATGGCTGTTATCGTGAACAATGTATTCTCATGAACACATTATAATGTATACATGTTCATGCTATTGCAGATTTTTCCCGATTATTATCTTCTTAATTTGCCAATGAATCTAATACATTGGATATCCATTAAGCTGTGAAATGCAGTACAAACTTAGTTATCCCGAGGTTGAACTATTTTTCATACGCACTTGGGTTTGACTTGAGTATGCTGACTGAAAGCGCTGCTTAATTAATTGCTGTTTTATATCAACGTGTGGAGGTAATTTATGTTGAAGTCACAATGTGATGCCTCTCCTCCTTCCAACCAATAATCTTGTGCACCCATGCGATTGAACTAGATACACACACAGCTGTATTCTTTTCTCATACAGGCCTATATGTGAACATTGAAGCAGGCTTGCCGATATTCCTCAAGCAATTAAAAGAGGCTGGGAAGAGTCTCTTTGTGATTACCAATAGCCACTACGATTTTGTGTAAGTGTCATCGTTGTAACGCAGTCAATGTGACGGAGGTTTTATTTACTGTACTCGCTGTACTGTCACTGTTGTCTCACCGGGTTCATCAAGTCGGCTAACGAGAGTGAGATGTGAGCATTTGAAACGTTGTCAGTTACTTGGTTTGGCAATTGTGTGGTATCATGTTCGTCTGTTTTCTGTACTGCTCAAGAGCCATTCACAATTATCAATGTTATTACAAGCATATACCGGACATAATACCATTGCATTATTCCGACATACAACATGTAAAAAAATATGATTTTTAGAGAAGAACGTGTCAATTTACATTTATTTGTAATCTTCTAAATGTTTACAGCTGCCGTTAACTCCAACTTTTCAGCTTGTGATTTGTGCCCTTTTTATAATGTTAACACTTGTGAAAGACCTCTTAGTTTTGCTTTTTTGGTTGTTCTAGGGATGCTGGAATGAGGTTTCAACTAGGTGATAATTGGCTAGACTACTTTGACACAGTCATAACACAAGCAAGAAAACCACATTTTTTTATTGAGAACAATAGGTAATTGTATCCCCCGCGACGAAGTCGGCGGGGATACTATGGTTTCATGTCTAAGGCGAGAGCCATGCCGAGGCGAGCCGAGGATTGACACTTTGTGTCCTCCAATCACAGCCTACGCCACACCTTCCTTATAAATTTTTATAGGTGGGGACCCATCACAGTACGAAATTTCTGATCTCAGGAACTAGGGCATTCTGCTAGGCTAGAACGGTTTCCTACGATAGAGTTTGGCACAAAAACGAAAATAACACGCTGTTTAGCGCACTGCGCTACGTACTTTTGTTGCATTTTCGCATCTCCGTAATCAGAATAAGCCCCGCCTTCTTCGTTGATTGGCATGAATGGGCGTCACTGACTTGACCAGTTTCTATACCGACTGTGTTTACTTTTCGTAAATAATGAAATGCCCGGCCGATGCTAGACTGGTACCCGTTCGCCACCTTCACTCCGGCATGTATCCTTCGCTACACAGACGCTGTTAGTGTAGCGTGTGGAACTGTCGACCGGGTACCAGTCTAGGCCGATGCCAAACTGCATGCAGTGCACCTTCGTACACTCGTAGATTGAGCCCATGACCGAGAGCGCCATCTGTCGTAGAGTTTGGGCCGATGCAATGCATTTTCTGCGTTTTCTGCGTGATTATTATTTTGTGCAGGCACTCATTTTGGAAATCCTCCAACACTTTTACTTCTTCCATTAAGTCCATGTTTCACTGTTATTTAGGAAGGAAGGTAAAACTGTGCATTCGTATAATTTCACTCTTGCTTCTATAGTATGATTTCCATAATTTTGCTTTTCTGCCCATGATAATATTTCCCTCATCATGAACCTGCATTTTTAGCTCACCTTGACATCGTCAAGCTGAGCTATTGCCATGGGTCGTCGTTCGTCGTCCGTCCGTCCGTCTGTCCGTCCGTCCGTCCGTCAACATTTCGCTACGGTCAACGATAACTCAGGAACCGTTTGACCCACATGTTTGAAATTGGGTTTAGTTGTTACTGCTATGCTCCCATATTAACACGTTCAACGCGAAACACGAGTATACTCGTTCGAACCTGCAAAACGCACGGCCGCGAAACACAAATATACTCGTGGCAAAAAAAATAAAATAAATAAAAATAAAAATTTGGAACGTTTACTATGTTCTCCTATAGATGGCATGGGCTGTACGCTTACAAATTCAACAGCGTCACTGTATAAACCCCAGTAGTAGATGACATAATTTATACAATACTTTACTCAAACTGCATGCAGTGCCCCTTCGCACACTCAATATACCACTGCCACAATGCTAGCACTATTTTTAAAGTGGGCGGAGCTCGGGGGAAATCCAGCGAATGGAGATTCGTAAACAGCGTATGATTTGAAAGAAGTAAATGAGTGATTTAAAAGTGGTAGAATTGAGCCAGAGCGAGAGCGCCATCTGTCGTGGAGTTTGTACTTTACTGTTGTTTAGAACGTTATTTTTGGAGTTTTTGGGACTGAGGTAATGTTTTTCGTTCACCGGGCCAAAGGGTGTTTGACCGCCGGTTGTTGTAAAGTTGTTTTGATGTCTGAGAGTTATATTTGATTTGATTGAACACGGGTGATTAATTACGGTTGTTGTTTTGATGTCTGAGAGTAAGTTTATATCTATATTATACTAGCCACTAATTATAAATAATTTTATAGCTAGTTAAACCTGCCAAAAACATTTTGTGTAATCAGTGACTAAGCGGCTCTGGCAAAACGCTGAAAAGTCTCAGCACAGGGCTGCGTAGGCTGCATGTTTGTTAACGCAATGCAGCGTTCAACGCGCGTTAAACGCTTCCTATTTTGAAAGCACGCCAGGTCGACGTACTTTCAAGCCACCCTTGGCGAAATTTTTTGGGCACAAAAATTGTGGAATTGCCATCTTGCTACAGTTTCAAGGGTCAACGGATTTTGGCTCATTTCGGGATGTGTAAATGGAATAAGGGCTAGGGTTTGATTTAAAAAAAATGTGCAAATACGGTAGGGTTTTGGCAATTATTAGCATATTATACTAGACACAACACACGTCCTGTAGGTGTCACACTTTGTCTGGATTCATTTACAAGATTTTTCATTGACTAATATCTTTATATTGCAAAAATTTGTATTTCCTCTCCACGCTAGTCGATAAAATATGTCTTATATTAGAGTAAAGTTTTAAAAAATGTCGCGAACGCGAGCATAACCTATTATTCAAACGCACATCGCTACAAAGCGGCGTATAGAAGCTCCGTCTACGGTCACAAATCGTGATTCATTTGCGTTTATAAATTATTATTGCGATATACAGATGGCAATCGTTTCTATAATGTACATCGCATGCGACCTTGCCTCAATTAAAACTGACTTGCTTCTGTACTCACTCATTTGTGTTCCTTTTGTGGTGAGCAGAAGCTACAGTGTCATTGGGACACTTTCATTCAGTCGACTCTTATAAATCGTTATATAACCTCCATATATCACTTAATTAAATCCCCTAGGTTATGGAATATTTGGCTGCATTTTTTTTATTACTTGGTTGCCTATTAAGATATCCTTCTACTATCTTTTCTTTGTTGGTGGAATTTATAACCATTGTTTTGTTTTTGTTTTAGCTCACCTGACATCCGTCGAAGCTGAGTATTGCCATGCGTCGTCTGTTCCGTCCGTCCGTCTGTTTTGTCGTCCGTCCTTCAACATTTTGTATCGATCAATGATAACTCAGGAACCGTTTGCGGCCACATTTTGAAATTGGTATAGTTGCTTACTGCCTATGCTCCCATATTAAACGTTCACCTATGTTTGAAGCCACTCCAGTCGTACGTACCTTTCAAGCACAGGCAATTTTTTTTGGCAAAAAATGTGGAATTGCCCATTTGTGTCAAGTTCAGTTTTCAACGGATTTTGCCTCATTTTTGCGTATTGAATGAATAAAGGCCTAGGGGTTTTGATATTTTAAAAAATAATTATAACAAATTAGGTACGGCGTTTGCAATTTATATTTAGCATATTATATAGACACAAACAGTCTGTGGGTGGTCACACCTGCGTCTGCTGTCGTTTTGTTTTACAGATTGATGACAATATCTTTAAATGCAAAATCTGGTATTTCCTCTCCACCCTGCCCGGATAAACACGTCTCATATTAGACGTAAAGTTTCAACGACATGTCGGAACGCTATCATAACCTATTTATTTTAAACGCCATCGCTACACAGAGGTATAGTGCCATCTATAGGTCCACAAATTGTGATTCATTTTTGGTTTTATAATTATATGCGAATACAGAATGGGCAAATCGTTTCTATAATGCCTACATCGATGGGTTGCTCATAGTAAAACTGACTCTCTCTTTACTCACTCATTTGTGTTCTTTTTTTTTGTGGTGAGCTACATGTCGTCATTGGCACTTTCATTCATAATTAAATTTTTCTAATTATTTTGATCAAGCTAATTGCGAGATGACACTTGAGCGATTTTGTTGCTTGGCTGTTTTATAATTCTGACAATTCTAAGAATATTGTCCATATATAATCAATTGTCATCATTCTAAAACTCCAAGACCATCCGCTGACGGCGATGGAGACGCTGCGCCGCGGTCTCGAATTTGGGCGCGACCGGCTCACTCTCCACTGCGGACAGCGGCTTCATACTGAACATCTCGCGGCAGTGCCTTTCAGATTTGAAAAAGTACCAGGAGACTACTAATGACTCACCCTAGAACAACACTATAATAGGGCGGTCTTTTCCACGCTCCATAATTCACACCCTTAAGAGGCATGCATAGGAGAGTCCATTTAAAAAATTCCACACCCCTAAGAAGGCATGATGGAGGAGCTCACTAAAATATATTTACACCCTTAAAGGTCTGCCATTTGTTTAAGATACGACGAAGCGGTGCTATGAAAGCTGATTCTCATTTGGCTACTAAACAAGAGTTGGGCTAGAATAGAACTCCAGATCAGGGCCTCAGACGAATCCATGTGCAACTCTCATGGACAGGCGCGAACTTAGTCATGGCACGCGTGACGCGGCGGCTTTCTTTGATGGTACACGCAGCATCGTACTCGACTACGCCCGTACATATATACCGGGCCTCGTAGCACCGCGCCGCGCGATACACAACCACACCACACTTGCAGCGTCAAATAACGCATCTACACGGCGCCAACGCTCTGACAGTTCTTCAAACAGGTGAAACTAAGCCCGTGTCTAATATTGAAACAAGCCTAAACTATATACAATGTATTAAATGAAGGTACTGGTTAGTAGGTTGGACTGTTCTTAAAAATGGAAAAATTTGTACATATTTTTAAACTCCCCTAAAAATTTTCTCTCAACGGATTAGACGGTTCAAAAAATCGACCGCCTGAGGGACTGTGAAATCCGCGGTATTTCGGCGGTTTGAGTGGGTCCAACTCCTGCCTAAGATTGGGGAGATTTCTTCTATATCCGCTGTTACAAAATCAGAGAGCCGCGTATTTCAAAACATATACACAGACTTTTTAGCGGCCGATTTCTGACCACTCTTTATGAAGGGCGATTGATGGGCGCACCATGGCACAAAATTTATGTCCGTCGCCGGGCGGCATAAAAGGGTGGACTCGCGAAATCCAATCGCGGTTTATCGAGAGCGCTGATCTGCGGCCCCTTAAAATGAAAAAAGCCTGCCCGCGGCCTATCTTGGCCTGCTCATTATATGACATCGTGGCCTAATCCAGTGGGGAACCTCTGCGGGTGTCACCTCATACTGACGGCGCCGCCAGCCCAGGTTCAGAAGACATCAAACAGCAAAGCTGTAGCCACGCAATCTTGTCAATCCGAATGGTCTCAATATCTGTGAAATTGGCCGCCCGTTTGTTTCTTCGCGGACCTTTAGGCCCAGTTATAGTACATGCTGGGTAATCTAAATACAGAGGTGACCTGTATTTGTGTCCTAGTCAACATAACAATTGTAATATATTTTCATGAATAATTACGTGTCTTCGACTTCGAAGAATTGCGTGCATTTCCTCATACTCCCGTCCGGCTCGGGGTGGTGCGGTGTGTGGTGGGCGGGCTGCCCGTGCGGCGCGTACCTGGCGTCCGCGCGGGGCCGGCGCGGGCCCGGTGTCCTGTGGTGGCCGGTTTGGCGCATAAACGCTTTATTACTTATAGGCGCATTTTGTAGGCTTAAACGAAAGACCTGATGTATTTACTAGGTTTCCGCTGCTTGTATGAATGCAATTTTGACTTGCAAAATATCTCCAAAAATGTCCTATAGGCCGGGAAAGGTCACATTAGCAAGGATAAAGAGCTGTGATGAGTTGTTCATTTGTTAGATGCCATAATCGTAATGTGTATGTGAAGTTGAAAGTTGCAAACTAGTGCTCTTGCTTACATTACGATTGAAAAGTTTCACTAATTAGTATCAGATTTTGCTGCTGCGGAAAAAACAGTAACAGTATATTACTACACCTCGGGCAGAAATAGTTACTGTATACTAATCAATGCTAATATAGTAATGATGACATAAAATACAGGAAATTTGTTCGTAAAATAGAAAAACAAGGGTGAGCCTTAGTTGCCGCGTATTCGTATACCTGGTAGCTGGGATGGCTGTTATTCGTGAACCATGTATCTCCTTATGAAACACATTTATAATGTATTACATTTCAATGCTATTGCAGATTTTTCCGATTATTATCTTCTTAATTTGCCAATGAATCTAATACATTGAGATATCCATTAAGCTGTGAAATGCCTACGTACAAACTTAGTTATCCAAGAGGTGAACTAATTGTTCATACGCACTTGGGGTTTGACTTGAGTATGCTGACTGAAAGCCGCTGCTTAATTAATTGCCTGTTTTATATCAACGTGTGGAGGTAATTTATGTTGAAGTCACAATGTGATGCCTCTCCTCCTCCAACCATAATCTTGTGCACCCATTGCGATTGAACTAGATACACACACAGCTGTATTCTTTCTCGTGCAGGCCTATATGTGAACATTGAAGCAGGCTTGCCGATATTCCTCAAGCAATTAAAAGAGGCTGGGAAGAGTCTCTTTGTGATACCAATAGCCACTACGATTTTGTTGTAAGTGTCATCGTTGTAACGCAGTCAATGTGACGGAGATTTTATTTACTGTACTCGCTGTACTGTCACTGTTGTCTCACCGGGTTCATCAAGTCGGCCTAACGAGAGTGAGATGTGAGCATTTGAAACGTTGTCAGTTACCTGGTTGCAATTGGTTGGTATCATGTTCGTCTGTTTTCTGTACTGCTCAACGAGCCATTCACAATTATCAATGTTATTACAGGCATATACCGGACATAATACCATTGCATTATTCCGACATACAAACATGTTAAAAAAAAATGATTTTTAGAGAAGAACGCTTCAATTACAGTTATTTGTAATCTTCTAAATGTTTACAGCTGCCGTTAACTCCAACTTTTCAGCTTGTGATTTTGTGCCCTTTTTATAATGTTAACACTTGGTGAAAGACCTCTTAGTTTTGCTTTTTTGGTTGTTCTAGGGATGCTGGAATGAGGTTTCACATTCATGACGTGATAATTGGCTAGACTACTTTGACACAGTCATAACACAAGCAAGGAAAACCACATTTTTTTATTGAGAACAATAGGTAATTGTATCCCCCGGACGAAGTCGGCGGGATACTATGGTTTCATGTCTCCCCATCGTCGCCGCCGCCGCCGCTCCGGTCTGCGCAGAGAATTTTCCTTCCGCTCTATAACTCGACCCCTAATTGACTAGCGCTACCAAACTTGGTATACTTACACATCTTGGAAGAAGGTGAGCAGCCGTACAAACCAGGTCACTGCGACCTTTATTTTACTTTACCTTGATCTTGATCATATTTCTCTTCCGCTCTCTAACTCGGCCCCTAATTGACCTAGCGCTACCAAACTTGGTATACTTACACATCTTGGGGAGAAGGTAAGCAGCGTACCAAAACCAGGTCACTGCGACCTTTAGTTGACCTTTACCTTGACCTTGATTATATTTCCCTTTGTGTCGCGTACCAAAACTAGGTCGCTGCGGCTTTTATTTGACCTTGACATTGACCTTGACCTTGATCATATTTTCTTTCCGCTCTATAACTTGGCCCCTAATTGACCTAGCACGACCAAACTTGGTATACTTGCACATCTTGGGGAGAAGGTGTGTCGCGTACCGAAACCAGGTCACTGCAACCTTTATTTGACATTGACCTTGACTTTGACCTTTATCATATTTCCCTTCCGCTCTATAACTCGGCCCCTAATTGACCTAGCGCGACCAAACTTCGTATACTTACCCATCTTGGGGAGAACACGGGAGATACATATGTAGTTGGCGACAACTGCCCTTTCTAGTTATTAATAAGTTATTGGTATTGGCAATTGCGTTGTGATATTATCGTTTTTGTGGTGTAATACTATCTCTCTCTCTCTTTCTCTTTAGTGGTAATTGCATGATTTGTCATTGCTTACATATATATAGCTCCTGATTCCACTACATCAGGAGATCAGTCATTTTATGACTGTTAATTCCATTGCTTGATATATTTATAATAAACTTGTTCCTAGTTTGGTGTGGTTGAATAGGACATAAGTATTTGTGTTGTTGTGTGTATACTACTATGGGTGGATGATGAGGAAATTACAATGCTGGTGTATTTGATGTTGAACCTTTAGGCCATTCAGGGTGTACGATAGAGATAAGTCTGCAAAAGGATGGGGTGCTGTTACCAAGCTTGTCAATGGAAATATTTATTGTGAGGTAAGACATATCTTATGACAAATGTCAACATGAATAATGTCAGATTAATGACAGTCACTGTCTGTTTTTTAAGAGGAGTTTTTTTATGTTTATGAATATTTGATTGAGCTGTTATACTTTTTTAACACTACCTCATTAAATTGTTAAATTATTAGTTTATTATATTGTAAAACTTTGATTGTTGTGTGTAACAATCTCAGAGCTGGTAGTACACCATCTGGTGCTGCCATCTGGAGTAGGGAATTGGCATCATGGCGGCTTAGTATGTTATACAGTTATACAGTTAAACAGTTATATATCGTTCTACATCCGTGCTGGATAATACAACCACGTACTGAAACATTGTGTACTTTGTAAATGTCTGCGTGGTGCATTGTACTAATATGACATTTATATTTAGGGAAACATAGACCAGTTTAAGTACCTGACAGGCTGGCAAGGAGAGTCTGTGCTCTACTTTGGAGACCACGTTTACAGTGATCTTGCTGTACGTATAGATGAAGATATCATATTAATAGTTTTACCTACAACACATGGTCTTTCTGTATCTTAGTTTCCATTTTCAGTCCTTCCTGGCCTCTTTCTCCGTACCTTGCTCATTTGCTCGCTCTTCCAATCCCTTTCTCTTCTTCTTTCTTCCATCCTCTTTCTTATCTATTTTTATTCCCATATACAGACCCAATAACTGTTTCTTCCTGCTTTATTTGGGGGTGTGCGTGTAGGTGTCTGTGCGCCTATGCACGTGTGTCCGTGTGCATATGTGTCTATACATACATCCTTCTACATTATACTGCAGTCATTGTTATTGATATGATTTACGTAATTGCTGCTTTTAAATGTAGGATCCTGCAGTGAAACATGGCTGGAGAACTGGTGCTATCATACCTGAACTGGAGGTATGAACACCCCTCCGTTTATGTACTGAATAAATGTTAGCTAGCATCGTAATCCAATGCTTCCTAATAATTTGTGGCTGTGGCCCAAATTTTAATCGTGTGGCTACCTCGATGACACTTGATGTTGCCATTGCAGTCTGCGGGCTATCTCGATGTCACTTGAGGTACCCAGTGATAATTGTCCTTGGTGCAGTATAGACTGTTGATCATCAGCAGTGCTGTGCCATTGTTGTACTGAAGCCAGATTTTGTTTGTGTGTCACTGTCAGTCTAGTGAGTGAGACGTTTGTGTACGTTTTGCTCGCAGAATGAAATCCAAGTGATAAATGATCCAGAGCACAACAAAGTAATGGTGTGGATGTATGGCCTGAAGTCTCTCTTGTCCAGCCTGCAAGTAAGTGTGCATTGGTTACTTCACACATTTCCTCGACACTGAGGGCAATTGCTCTACCTACCAGGTTGTCTGCAAAACGTCTAAACATTATTGCTTGTTAATTAATTAGTGTAGAAAAATTTGAAAAGTTGCTTGCATTTAATTTGTGTCGTAAGTGTATGCTATAGTTTGTCGAATTTTTTTTCTAGCACCATAGTGACAGAGGATCGAAAGAAATTCTTCAGGAGTGGTTGACAGAACTTGCTCATCTTAAGTATGTCATTTTATCGTCCAGTTCTATTATTTTTCACGGGCCTAGAGCACAAAGGAAGAGCACCATCATATTTCTTCATACTGTTGTTCCTTTCTTTGTGCTTGAAACACAATGCTTTCTTTTTCGCTCGCAATGCAATCGAAGCAGCTGCCTGACTCTACAAGCTGTTGTTCACCTCTCGTATTTGTAGTCATGTGTGATTTCGGTAACGTCATATCACAGTGCAGCGGTGGCATTCACGAACATCTCACTATCCTTGCGCATGTGTTAGTTCACATCCTCTCCTGAACATCCCGCCACCGCCACTCATACATTCGTTCACATCCTCTCATGAACATCCCATGGTCACCACGTGCGCATTTGTTTACATCCTCACGAACATCCCATGACCACCACGCGCACATTCGTTCATGTCCTCTCATGAACACCCCATGACCACCATGCGCACATTTATTTACATCTTCATAAACATCCCATGACTGCCATTCGCACATGCGTTCACGTCCTCTCATGAACATTCCATGACCGTCACTCACGCGTTCGTTCACATCATCTCGTGAGCATCTCCTGATCCAGCTCTCTTTTCGCGTTTGTCCTGCAGGCAGATGTCAAAGGACCACTTCAACCCGCGCTTCGGCAGCATGTTTCGGACGTTCACGACGCCGTCGTTCTTCGCGAGGCGCCTCGGCCGCTTCGCCGACATCTACACGTCGTCTGTCGTCAACCTGAGCGGTTACTCGTCCGAGCACGTGTTCTATGTGCCGCGCTCGCCACTGCCGCACGAGTTCGCCTACAGCCGCATACACTTCAGCAACCACGACATGCTGCCGCACGACCAGTGGCGGCGGCAGCCAGGCAGCGTGGACAAGGATGTAAAGGGTCCGTGAGTGACCGGGCCATAACCGCTGACAAGCAGCAGCAGCAGCAGCGGCCTGGCAGCGTGGACAAGAACGTGAAGGGTCCGTGAGTGACTGGGGCAGACCACTGACAAGCAGCAGCAGCAGCGGCGGCGGCAGCGGCGGCCTGGCAGCGTGGACAAGGATGTGAAGGGTCCGTGAGTGACTGGGGCAGACCACTGACAAGCAGCAGCAGCAGCGGCGGCGGCGGCCCGGCAGCGTGGACAAGGATGTGAAGGGTCCGTGAGTGACTGGGGCAGACCACTGACAAGCAGCAGCAGCAGCAGCGGCGGCGGCAGCATGGACAAGGACGTGAAGGGTCCGTGAGTGACTGGGGCAGACCGCTGACAAGCAGCAGCAACAGCAGTGGTGGCGGCAGCCTGGGAATGAACAAGGATAAAGAAGGGTCTGCTGGCCCCCAACACAACAAGCGAACGCGAAAGAATGACAGTTGCCCCCAGTCAGGGGTGACAATAGATTTTCGGTGCATTTGCATGTGAGAGTCTGGAGGGCTCACGTGTTGTCAAGTAGGTAGACCTAGCAGACAATCGCAAAAGAACTGCGGCCTTATCGGATCATGGAGTGATAATGGGTTATTTTATCAATGTATTAGCAAAGTTTAAGATAGTATACGAGGTGCTCACGAATCGTCGAGTAGATAGATCTGGTGATCGAATCGGTGGTCGGGAGGCATGATAGGCAACCCCACCATTATACTTGGGTGATGATTTATACTAGCGAATTGGGTGATGATCTCGTGAGTGCAGTTTGTAACAAGGATCGGGCCAATGAATGTGAAGGAACTATGGTCCGGTCAGATTTAGGAGTGAAGGTTATTCTGTCAGTGCATTAGGGAATTAGAGGAAGATCTGAAATACCTGTAAGTCATTCAGGGTGCGGTGTGTGGAGAAGTCCAGTGAGCCAACGTGTATAGATATCAAAGGTTTTATCAGACTGTGAAGTCTCGATAGGATAACTCATTAGTCTGCTGTGAAAAAAATCGTTGATTTGTAGAGCCAGTGAGTCGTTGACCATGCTAATCAGTTTATAGATTCCTTTGTCCCTCAAGCACTTTAGTGGTAGCACTGATGACACAAAGGTGTGAGGCATTGAAGGCACTCACACGATGTGACCAGCAGAGACCAAATCAGCAGCTCGTTTATGGAACCCGAATCTTTTTGTGTGATTAATCGTCTTGGTATATTATGTGTGAGTCGCGGTGCCGGCGGCCGCACATACAGCTTTAGTACGTGCTGCTGGTATTGTAGAAGTTGCAGTAGCGTGGCTACACAGCAAGATTTCACCCGTTATTCTATTACTTTAATTCGTATCTATATCACTCCTACACAAACACAGCGCCATGATCACACAGAATCACACGATCAGTGACACTAGCTGCTGGCCTCACGGTCGTGGCTCTGTGTTTAGTTGTTATTGTGTGAGTTTGTGCTTAATCATGTTTAGCTCAATGTTGTGTTTGCTCATAGGAAAACGCCACAGACGGTCGGACGTGGACCGAATCACATGGAATGTTTTTGTGTATATAACAGATATTTAGTATGATAACGTTATAAATGTCTAGATCTCACGTTACAACTTCAGGGATTTAATAATTAATAGCATCTAGTAATTTTTGATTGTGTATTTCTTTATTTACGTCACGTCTCATTTAGTTAGGCAGAGCTTGTAGTGATTGTAGCATTTCTGTGTCCGTTTGTCCATCTGTTGGTTTAGTGGTGAACGTCTGTAGGGCTTTACTGGGAGTGTTCATATTCGGCGTGTAGTGGCACCTTTGAAATACGCCTCGAGACGAAAACGAGTATATTTTCTACGACCCGTATTCTTTTGTGTGAATTTTATAGTGAATTATTGTGAAAGTTGCGACTTTTTAACATGTATTATATCGTTGGAATAGTAACAAAGCTGTACGTTTCTAGTCGGAAATGCTGTATTATAAAGCATAATTGTAGAGCGACCAGCCAACTCGTATGTGGGTGGTGTCACTAGCGGCAGTCGAGTACTGTTGGGCTGCAGCATTTGTTGCAAAACATGCACGTGCTGATGTATGTATATGTAAAAATATCAGGTTGTTATCACACTTCTAAACATCATTGTTGATCAATTCGAATTTTGTCTTCCATCGTTGTCATGAACGTAGTTAGATGAAATTTCTTCATTTTACGTCAGCTTGTGAATAAAACATGCTACTGAATGACTGACATGTTATATCAGACTATTAGGGCTCCTACTCTGTTAGCAAGTGGTTTTCGAATGGTTTCTTTCTTCTCAGGAATTTATTGGATCTGTTGACATCAGAATATTTATACTACCAAGATACTACTAATGGTTGGTTGAAAAAAAACCATCATTTTTTATTACAGGAAAATGCATGAAACGAATATAAATTGTGAAGAAATTTTTATTTCATTGTAAGCCACTCAGTGGTAGGTTTCCATAACGCAGCTAAAATAACACCAACACTTCACAGAATGTGTTAACTCAACAGCCAACACAGTAGATAACAGATTACGAATTAACGAACTTGAGTAAATTGATAACGCCATAATCTTAAATCTCTCAGGAGACTAAATTTAAACGAACGAATTACACACGTAATGAAAAACTGCGACGTAATAAGACTGGCAACCGGTAAGATTACAGCATCTGTGGATGTCCCTGCATATCTGAAGTGAAGCCAGCATCTAATGTGATCTAAATCCCGCGAGAATTAACATCCAGAGTCATCCCACCATTTGGAGAATCCAAGCATATACAGTGATGCTAAAATCTAGCAAGGACCCAACATTCGTCCAGATCCCAGAATCTTGTGAGGTCCCAGCATCCGGTAAGATTCCAGCTTACGATCAGATTCTAGCATTGGGTGCAATCCAGCATTCGATAAGATATCAACATCGGGCAATATCCAAGCATCCAGCGACATCCCAACATCCTGCCATATCCCAGCATCCTACCATATCCCAGCATCCTGCGACATCCCAGCATCCTGCGATATCCCAACATCCTGCCATATACCAGCATCCGGCGATATCCCAGCATCCGGCGACATCCCAGCATCCTACCATATCCCAGCATCCTACCATATCCCAATATCCTGCCCTATCCCAGCATCCTGCGATATCCCAGCATCCGGCGATATCCTAGCATCCGGCAATATCCCAACATCCTGCCATATTCCAGCATCTGCATATCCCGTGAACATCCCAGCATCCGCCCAGACCTCGGCAGGCGTTGGTGTGATGACGCTGTCATACATACATCGACGTCTTGCGATCGTCAGCCGTGTAGTCGTGCGCTATCGCGTGCAGGTCTTGACACCGCGACCCCGCCTTGCGCACGCGCGTTACGTGATGCTTGTTGAGGTACCACAGGTATACGACGAACAGCACGCCCCCTATGAGGATGGCGACGAACGAGTTGATGAGGAATTGTAGCGGGTAAGGTAACGGAGCGTCGTCGACATAGATCTGAAACTCGTCCTGCAGGCTGCAGTAGCTGAGACCCTGAAAGACCTTCACTTGGAAGTGAAAGAGTCCTGCGGGTGAAAATAAAAACTGGTTGTTGTTCCGCGTCCCTAACGTGACCGTGTAATGAAGCATGTGGAGAACGAGAAAAACGGCGGAAGACAGGGCGAGAGAGATGAAGAGAGAGCGGGAGACAAAGAGAAAGAGAGAAAGGGGGAGACACAGAGAAAGAGCGACCCTCCCCTCCCCAGCGCCAGCACGCCACCACTCTCACCCTCCCGGCGCGCAGCACGCACCCTCCCCCCGTAATTACGCATCCCCCCGCGTATCACGCACCTCCCTTCCCCCACCGCAGCTACGCACCTTCCCCCGCGTAATACGCACCTCGCCCCCACGCCAGCACGCCACCCTCCTTCCCCGCGCCCCCACGCACCCTCCCCTCGCGTAATTACGCACCCTCCCTCCCCCAGCCAGACGCACTATCTCACCTCCGGCGCAGCACGCACCCTGCCCGCGTAATACGCAATCCCCCGGCGTAATACGCACCCTTCCCTTCCCGCACGCAGCACGCCACCCTCCCCCGGTATACGGACCCTCCCTTCGCCCCACGGCCATGCACGCACCCTGCCCCCCGCGTATACAGATCCCCCGCGTACATACGCACCCTCCTTCCCCCACGCAGACACGCACCCTTCCCCTTGGTAATAACGCAACCCTCCTTCGCCCCACGCGCACGGCACCCTGCCACCGCCGTAATACGCTAACCCTCGCTGCCCACGAACACGCCCCTCCCCCTTCTCCGCGCCGCACGCACCCTCCCCTCGCGTAATACGCACCTCCCTCCGCGTAATACGCACCCCTCCCTTCCCCACGCAGCACGCACCTTCCCACAGGCGGTAACTACGCACCGCTCCGCCTCCCCCGCGCAGCACGCACCCTCACCGCGGTAATACGCACCCTCCCCTCCTCCACGCCAGCACGCACCTCCCCCTCCCCCCGCGTAATTACCGCACCATCCCTTGCCCGCCGCGCAGCACGCGCAACCTGCCCCCCTCTCCCGCGTAATACGCCATGCCCCCGCGTAATACGCACCCTCCCCTCCGCCACGCGAGGCCCACAGATCCTCCGCGGATAATAGCAGCGCTCCCCCGGGTCGGATCACGCACCCATTCCCTCCTCACGCAGCACGCCCTTCCCTTTTCGGCGTAATACGCACCCTCCCCTCCCACACGCAGCGTACCCCCTCCCTCCGCCCCGCAGCGCGGCCGGCCCGCGCAGTACGCACCCTCCCCTGCCGCGTAATACGCACCCTGCCCCTCCGCCCACGCAGCACGCCACATCTCACCTCTCGCGCAGCACGCACCCATCCCCCGCGTAATACCCAGTCCCCGGTAATACGCCACCCTCCCTTCCCCAGGAGCACGCACCCTTCCCCCGCGTAATACGCAGCTCCGCTCCCCCACGCAGCAGCACCCTCCCTTCCCCCGCGACGCAGCGCACGTGCTCCCTCCGCGTAATACGCACCTCCTCCCGCGTATACCGACCCTCCCTCCCCACAGCACGCCACGCACCCTTCCCCAGGTAATACCGCTCGCTCCCCTCCCACACGCAGCACGCACCCATCACCCCACCGCTAATACGCACCCTCCCCTCCAGCAGCACGCACCATTCCACCTCCTCGCGCAGCACGCACCTCCCTGCGCGTAATACCGCCACCCTCCCTGCCCTCCACGCCACCACGCAGCTCCTCCCCCCGGCCGTATACGCACCCTCCCTCTTGGCGCGCAGCACCCACCCTCCCCTCCCGCCACCGCAGCACGCACCTTCCCTCCCCGCGCAGCACGGCCCCTTCCCTCCCCCACGCCACACGCACGCTCACACGTCTGCGACGGCTGTAATACGCACGCTCCCACTCCCCGCGGAAGCACGCCACCTCCCCTCCCCCGCGCTGCACGCCACCCTCCCACAGGCGTAATACTGCATGCCTCCCACTCCCCACGCAGCACGCACCCTCCCCCTCTTCCTCGCGCAACACGCACTCCCCCCCCGACGTAAGGCGCAACCCTCTCCCCTTCCCCCTCAGCGACTGACCGTCCCAGCGTTCCCCGCGCAGGCACGCACCCTCCCCCACCGCAGCACGCACGCTTCCGTTTTCCCCGCGCAGCCGCACCCTCCCCACGCAGCACGCATGCCTACCACTCTCCGCGCACGCACCTCGCCCACGCAGCACGCACCCTCCCCCACGCCAGCACGCACCCTCCCACCTCCCCGCCCGCAGCACGCACCTCTCCCCTACGCAGCAGCCACCCTCCCCACGCCAGCACGCACCCTCCCACCTCCCCACGCAGCACGCACCCTCCCCCACGCAGACACGCACCCTCCCCCCGTCAGCACGCACCCTCCAACTCCCCGGCGCAGCACACACCCTCCCACCTCCCCCACGCAGCACGCAACCTCCCACGCGCACGCACCTCCTCCCCGCAGCACGCGCCCTCCACCCGCAGCAAAACGCACCTCCCCACGCAGCCACGCACCGCTTCCACTCCCCGCGCAGCAGCGCACCCGCCCCA